TATCCAAAGCAGCAGATTTAAAAGTGGACACTAAAAAAAAATCACCTGTGGTTTTAAATCCTGCTTGGCTATTGGGCAGCTCCAGGGCAAACAGCCATCCGAAAAGTTCTCCTACTGGTGACACTGGCATCAGGGCCCAGCCCACTGGTTCAGGTACCTGACCAACAAGGCATGAGTTCACATCAGTCACATAATATCAGTCACATTTTCCTGGCTGGGAGTAAACCCACGTACAGCCCTTACTGGACCCTTAAGTTTAAAGAATACACTGCAAATAATTATTTCTAAGAAAGTAAAAAAAAAGTCTTTTTTAGGCATTTCATATTATTCTAAGTCTAAAAAGAAAATCAATTCTTCTCTAGAAGAACAGCCTAAGGTAAATACGCTTAAATATGATCCAGATTTTCTTATTTTGAGTAAAACAAAATGGCTGCAGTAGCCAGAAATCTCTAGAGCAGGGGTCTTCAAATACATTTGTTTAAGGGCCAGCGTTTTTTCCAGCCGACACCGTGAGGGCCAGGTGCTCTTCTAAAATAAAGTTAAAGTATTATTGTATTTTAATTTATTAACATTTAGAGTAGAAGGAGTCACCGCTCATCTGGGTGAGGTGCTGGAACAAAAGTAGAAATCAAAAAGATCAGAATCCGCACACTTCAATCTGCGATGTGAGAGCTTTATTTGTCGAGATGTTCGGTCTGAGACCTTCATCAGGAGTTGTGCACAACTCATTTGGAGGACGTTAGGGCCCAAAGGCCGGGTGGAAAGGTCTGGCGGGCAGGATTTGGCCCGCGGACCACCAGTTGAGGTTCACTGCTCTGGAGCAACCAGTAACTCCACCCTCTAGCCAATCAGCAGCTGACAAGTTCCAGTGCTGACTTGGGTCAGCCCTTGGAACCACAACGAAGAGGGGGGCTGAAAAGTAGAGGGAATGTAAGGGGAACATACTGAACTGTCCTGTTGGAAAAGACGGCCAGACCGAACCACACCCTCCCGAGTCACCCTGAGTAGCGCTGTTGGAAAAAGCCTATAAGAGATCCCAGAACTTCCTTTTCCCAGATACCTCCTTCAGTTCAGAAAACCTCTTCGGCATGTCCTGGGTTTGTCTCAGTGTCTAGAGCAGGGGTCACCAACCATTCTGAGGCTGAGAGCTACTTCACCATTACGGAGCCATATGAAGGACTACCAAGTTGATAGACAAAGTTTTTTCATGTGTACAAAACTGACCTTTGAACTAGTAGTTTAAATAAACATTATGTATAAACATATTTGGGACTTTTTTATTAATATCATTTCTAAATATATATCAGTGCAACTGAGATTTTAAAAAGTCCTTCTCTTTGGGTTTGTCCCTTCAGGAGTCGCCACAGCCAATCATCCGTCTCTGGGTTTGTCCCTTCAGGAGTCGCCACAGCCAATCATCCGTCTCTATTCAGTCCTGTCTTCTGCAACCTCTACCCTCAGACCAGCTAATCATGTCCTCTTTCATCATATCCATTTATCTCCTGTCCTGACATGTCCTAACCATCTCAGTCTGCCCTCTCTGACTTTATCTCCAAAACATCTAACAGGCTGTCCCTCTGATGAACTCATTCCTGATCCTATCCGCAGCAGATCACTATGTCAACTGCACGCATCAAAGTCCATGAAGACTCCTGCGTAACATCTCCTATCAGCCTGTCATCACCAAAGTGAACAAGGAGGGGCTCAGAGCAGATCCTTGATGCACTCCCACATCCACCTTGAAATCTTCTGTAACTCCTACAGCACACCTCACTGCCGTCTCACAGCTCTCATACATGTTCTTCACCACTCTAATACTTTTTGGTTACTCCAGACCTCCACATGCACCACAGCTCCTCTCTCAGCACCGTCATAAGCTTCCAACCTTCCCAGTACTCCTTTAGCATCCTTGAAACAAAGGTAGCATCTGTAGAACTCTTTCTTAGCATCAAGCTGTATATCCTTCACTGTATAACTCATTAGCTGTTTCTCTGTAGTTCCCACAATTTTGTAAGCCGTCTCTGCTGCCATGTTTTAAATCACACAAAGTGTGATTTTAGAAATAGTCACAGAAAGTATTATTATATACTTTGCTGAGCGGTGAATTGTGCTATTTTTAGAACAGGAACTAAGGGCATCTTATGGGGTGCCTAAGTCACGCCCATCTGCTTCCGGACCACGGGTCCCCAGAAGAACGTAAAAACAAATGCAAGTCAACAGGGCTAAAAACGCTATTTTCTAATTCCGCTTGTTTTATGCCATGGATTTCACATATGATGTCCATGAATTTTAAAGACACATTTTGATACCAAGAACACGCTTATTGTCGAACAAGGGAAAACGCTATTTTAGGTTTTGTGTGAAAATAAGTCCAGGACTACAAATGCGCTTCATCGCGCAAGTGACGTCATCGAACCAGACACGGAGAAAACTGAGGCAAAAGGGCTGTAAGTTCAGCAAACTTCCAGCAGGAGGAAAGAACCACCATAAATCTGGTCATGTGGTAAGTAGCAGCTACGCTAGGGGAGAGGAGATTATGTGGTGATGTCACATATGCGACGTGCCGACTTCTAGTTTGAAGTTATGCTAATTACAAACTTTTACAAGCTGATAAATCTCAAAATACGTGACTGGCATGGTCGAAGCACCCATCGTTACTTTTCATTTAAATGGCAGTACAACATATGTGCGATCCTGGGCCTAAGGCAAAGCGGAGTAGAAAATAGCGTTTTTAGCCTCGTTGACTTGCATTCATTTATTTGTTCTTCCGGGGACCCGTGATGCAGAAGTAACTTAGGTTCCCTATAAGGCTCTTAAGCCCCATTCCCACCTGTACCGGGTCGGCCCGGGCCGGGTAGCATAGGTTGTTTACATATCTGGGTGGCCTGGAATTTTCCCGGGCCAACCAAGGCTCATTCTCGGCCCTCTTCCCGAGGGGTACTGCTTCAGGCCGACCAGGGCCAACACGCCCACTGCTGACAGCAAATTCACACCTTCCATTAGAGCAAGCCTCTGATTGGTGGGTAGAATCAGCCCATTCACACCTTCCATTAGAGCAAGCCTCTGATTGGTGGGTAGAATCAGCCCACATGGGCTTAAGGCAAGGATGTGTGGAATCAACCGGGCCAGGCTGGGGCCGACTGGGGCTACCCGGCCCGGGCCGACCCGGTACAGGTGGGAATGGGGCTTTTGGGGCACATTGGTGCCAGCGGGCACCAGGTTGGTAACCCCTGGTCTAAAGGAACATGTCTGAAACACCTCCCGAGGTATGAAGAAGACATTACCAGATGCCCCAATATGAGGAATCAATACCTTTGTCTGTCAAATCTTTAGCTCCATTTATGAATTCAGTGACAGTTGATGGCCTTGGCATTTTGATCTTTGAGTCTCAGAATTGGCTTTAGGAACTTAGACGACAGTTTTTTCAAGATATTTGAACTAGACATAGTATTCGAGGTACTAATTTAAGTGGTGGATCTAGTTTTCTTTATTTTTTAACAAAGATGTTGATGCATTGCAATATTTTACATTGTCAGTAATTTTAAAACCTATTAAGTCTTGTGTGACTGTTGTAAAGAGCTGATTCATAAAATAAGGCTTTGCTTGCTTTTAATACCACCGTGCTACTATTTATTAGTGTTGGGTGATAATGATTCATTTCCATCCTCTACCTGACTGATGGCCGTGTATGCTCGTCCATCTCCAACCACGATGTAGGCGTGAAGGTCGATGTTGTCAAGCACAATCGGAAACGATCCTACTGTCACCGTACCACTCACCTTCCCGCTGACGCGCTGAGGAGCACCTGGATGGAGAAACATCAAGGCTGAGCGATGAAGAAGATTTAAACAAGAAGATATGACAATGAGTTTTGAGTTCCAACCATCAGGCAGACATTGGCGACCATTTCCATAGAAGCCAGGACGACAGTGACAGCAAAACCCCGTGGCGTAGTCTGAGCAAATAGCATTCTGGGAGCATTGTTGTTGGAATCTAGACGATGGAAGAGTAAAAGTTTCTGTTTTTGTAAACTTTTATAAACAGGATCTGATTTCTCCAGCTGTGGAGCGAACACATACCTGGCACACGTTTCCTTGTTCTCAGTAGTGTACTGAATCACTGGGACAGAATGGGAAAATAGCATTACAACACATTATAACACATTGATTCATCCTCCTACAACTAATCAAAAAATTTTGTTTCAGCAAAAAAAATTTTATGAATACAGAATTGGGTGGTGAGCGGTGGCCAGAATGGACAAGCTTTGAAATTTATTTTCATGGTTTTATCTCACAATGTTTATTTTGTCAGCACAATATTTTTGAAACTATAAAATTATACAGAAATCAACACAATATGCAAATTTTTTAAATCCGAATCGTTATCGCCCTCCAATAAAAACTTAATTTTATGAGTTAAGCTCTTAGCCTACGTAAAGATGTTGCTAAATCTGTCAACTTTACTGATTGGGCCTGAATTTGGCATCTTGACCTAAGCTAAAAGTCAATAACAACACCCACTCTAGGGAGATAACGCATCAAATTACATCTTAGACCAAGGTTTGACCAAAAGTGTCAACACTTCCCCAACAACAGATGAACGTAGTTTGGAATGTCTCACATTAAAAGAGGTCACGGAGTGTTTTACTTTTAAATTATGTTAAATCTGAACCTAAATGTTCTTTATTTAGTTTATATTATTTTACCAGTCATCACACACATCCTGAAATGCTGGAATATCCCATTTCATCCTGACTGGTTGGATCATTCAAGGCCCGTCATTTTTATCTTCTCACAAATCTAAAAAATTAACTCATTTTACATTAAAATGTCAGTTTTTCGAGACAGTATGATTAGGGAAACTCAAATGTGTGCTGCACCTTTTGTTTTATTCTTCAAAGTAAGCCAAATGACTTCATGTGGATATTTTTTACCCTCACAGACTTTTTAACCTTATGTAACCATGCAAGTGGAATGAGAACACGTCCCTATTTATGGTCAATCTTATGGGAGTAGCAGCATGGGAGGGAATGCTGAACACACACACACACACACACCTGTGAGCTGCCAAGTACAATGGTAGCGTTATACTTCCAGCTGCTGAGCAGAGGGAAGAGGTAGTATTACCCTCCCAGCGGCCACCATGCTTTCACAAATGCTCATATTAAAGCAGAAATCTGGTATTTTCCCCTTTTGGGAAATAATGTATGATTTTTATTTTTAGAATTAGATAGATTAGATAGATAGATTAGATAGATAGATTAGATAGATAGATTAGATAGATTAGATAGATTAGATAGATTAGATAGATTAGATAGATTAGATAGATTAGATAGATAGATTAGATAGATAGATTAGATAGATAGATAGATAGATAGATAGATAGATAGATAGATAGATAGATAGATAGATAGATAGATAGATAGATAGATAGATAGATAGATAGATAGATAGATAGATAGATAGATAGATAGATAGATAGATAGATAGATAGATAGATAGATAGATAGATAGATAGATAGATAGATAGATAGATAGATAGATAGATAGATAGATAGATAGATAGATAGATAGATAGATAGATAGATAGATAGATAGATAGATAGATAGATAGATAGATAGATAGATAGATAGATAGATAGATAGATAGATAGATAGATAGATAGATAGATAGATAGATAGATAGATAGATAGATAGATAGATAGATAGATAGATAGATAGATAGATAGATAGATAGATAGATAGATAGATAGATAGATAGATAGATAGATAGATAGATAGATAGATAGATAGATAGATAGATAGATAGATAGATAGATAGATAGATAGATAGATAGATAGATAGATAGATAGATAGATAGATAGATAGATAGATAGATAGATAGATAGATAGATGATAGATAGATGATAGATAGATAGATAGATAGATGATAGATGATAGATGATAGATAGATAGATGATAGATGATAGATAGATAGATAGATAGATAGATAGATAGATAGATAGATAGATAGATAGATAGATAGATAGATAGATAGATAGATAGATAGATAGATAGATGGATAGATAGATAGATGTGAACCCCAGCTACAGATTAACTAAACAAAGGGTGTTCTATAGTGATTTATATCCTATTTATAATTTTTTCACATAACCTTTGTTCTAAATGGTTAAAATATCACTAAAAATATTTTTCAAAAGCACCAAATATTATTGATTCTGATTGATCCTTTATGTGTTTGTGACATTAAAAGGGTTTAAAAATGAAAATAGGTCAGAAAGACAACATAGAAAGGTGTACGTGTGTTATTTATTGCCCACCTCCAGTGTCAAAGTCAACATCCTCTTCATCCACACTGACCACGTAGCCCCCAGGGGACAGGGGGGGTTCGTTTTCAGGAGAAGGGTTCACTTCCACCACCTCTAGAGGAAGCTACAGATGGAGACGGGATAAGAATATAAATGTCCCAACTTCCAGCATGTTAACTTCGCTGTGAGCCAAGCCAGTTCCATTAACTCGATCCCGATGCTACAACCCAAAGAACTGTGATGTGAGAATACGTGGAGTCTTTCATCCAGTGGCCAGTGGATCATGACTTGGCAGCATTTAGTTGACAGCAACATGCTTCTAAACAACATTCCACCTCACCCACATAACTAGAACTGATTTCAAATACTCATAAATTAGAAATGTCTCCGTTCATCTGTGATGAGCTGAGGGACACGACTGTACTCACGAGCCCTTACGCAACACAGGGGTTTACAGGTTTAGCGATCAGCCATCTTGATTAATAAAAAATTATTTAGTCTTCCTGTTACCTGTGGTTTCTGTTCCTGGAGCTGCTGAGCCCGTCGTTCTGGGTGATTTGGAGGAACGTACTGCCCCTCCTCTCCTTCTTCTCCATTGTACGTGACCTGGTGATCAGAATCCTCTGACGAAGGAGGAGTAGAGCCTGGACTTCCAGGCTGGAGTGAACCAGAGTCGCCACCATCAGGCACAGGCTGAAACTCAAGGTCTTTACCCGTTGCGGTGTAGCCGTCTACCTCCTCTGGACTCTCTGACTCAAAGGTGTTATCTGGATAATCCCCATACTCAGGGGTGGTGGTGTCCTGACAGAGACAGTGAAGGTAGCATTGGAGAGGCATTGGAGAGGCAAAACTAAGATTTGCGTGTCATTTTTAAAGTGCGACTAAAAGGAAACATTAATGTTACCGGGGAGAGGGCATGTCCTTCAGGAGGTAGGGTAGAAAGGAGACCACCAATGGCTGCAGGAATGATGTTTTCAAAAGAATGTCTGTTCCCAGTGTGGAAGAGCCAAACACCTGGAATCCCGGTATTACCAACCCTAGAGAGGGAGAAACCAGTTCAGTGTTTACATCTTACCAGACTGACAAGCAACAAACTAGTCTGGGTGCATCAAAGTGTGCTGCGGCCATCTTAAGGAAACTAGTCTTCTTAATTTTATAGTTTATTCTGTATTCTATCATCCTTGATTTTGGCATCTATTTAGCATTATGAGGGTTGTAAAAAGCTCCTCTGTGGCAAGGCTCCGGGGGTGGATGAGATCCGCCCGGAGTTCCTTAAGGCTCTGGATGTTGTGGGGCTGTGTTGGCTGACGTGAC